GGAGCTCCATAAAAACCCTTCCCAGCACCACTTCCCTCCATGGAGGAGGTGCTTGGACAAGAAATACACCAAGGAGTTAGTACAAGGAGTTGGTACAAGGATTTTTATTTTGTGATGCAAGGAGGAAGAGGCTTAGGCAATGCTCCCAGCGTTGGAGGCAATCCTGGGCCACAGATCTGCACATTCCTTGGCCACGGGGCCTGTGATGGCTGAGCCTGGAAAACAGGGATAACAGAGCATCAGTTCCTCCCTGTGAGGTGCTGAGGCACTGGTACATCTTTGCCCAGAGCAGCTGTGGCTGCTCCAGCCCTGGAAGTGTTCCAGGCCAGGTTGGATGGGGCTTGGAGCAACCTGGGCTGGTGGAAGGTGTCTCCATCCAGGCTGGAACTTTAATATCCTTCCAACCTACACCTTTCCAGGGCAGAGATGATTCAGGATAGCACCTCCCACTCCCTGAGGGAATCTGGATCCTTTCCCCCAGCAGAGCTCAGCCCTGTGGCAACACCAACCTCCCCATGGCATTCCCAGGGCAACAGATTTGTGTGCTCACCTTTCATTTCACCTTTGTTGTTGACAATCACTCCTGCATTGTCCTCGAAGTAGAGGAACACTCCGTCTTTTCTCCGGTAGGATTTCCGCTGCCGGATCACCACGGCTGGGTGCACTGGGGAGGGAGAGGAGCAGCTCAGTGTCACCTCAGGACAAACACACACAGAATCCAGGAGATCCCAGAGGAGCTGCTCTGCTACAGCTCCTGACCCACTGCAGGAATCTGGGGTGTGTTTTATTCTGCATCTCATTTTTGGGGTGTTGCACTATGGAAAGTTCCAGTTTGTGGTCAACAGTTTTCTTCAAACTGAGTGTGAAACACTTAGGATATGTCTACACTTGGATAATCCAATGTTTTCTCCCTTTCCCACCTTTGTTTATAAATAAAGTATCAATTTACAAAACATATTCAACAAAAACTCCTCTGGAGTGGGAGCAAAGCTGTTTGCTCCTGGGGGGGTCATTCCTGTGGGACTCCCCCAGTTCCAGGGGGAATTCTTCCCTCTGGACTCCCATTGATTCCAGGGGCTACCCTAGTTCCAAGGAGGATCCTTCCCACTAGGCTCCCCTGGTTCCAAGGGGGTGGAATTGGATGATCCTTGAGATCCTTCAAATCCAAACCATTCCAGATCCCGAACATTGCTCCTCTTTTACAGACAAAGAAATGGACTCAGGAGGGGATACTGGGAAGGAATTCCTCCCTGTGAGGTGCTGAGGCACTGGCACAGGTTGCCCAGAGAAGCTGTGGCTAAACATCCCTGGGAATGTCCCAGGCCAGGTTGGATGGGGCTTGCAACCTGGGCTGGAAGGTGTCCCTGCCCATGGCAGGGGTGGGATGGGATGAGCTCTAAGCTCCTTCCAACCCAAGCCATCCATGATTCCATGATTTCTCCACCTCCATCTGTGAAGCAGCTGTGGTTGCCTCATCCTTGGGAGCATTCCAGGCCAGGTTGGATGGGGCTTAGAACAACCTGGGCTGGTGAAAGGTGTCCCTGCTCATGGCAGGGGTGACATTGGATGAGATTTAAGGCCCTTCCAACCTAACCCATCCCACGAATCCACGATCCCAATGTCCCAGCACTGATTGAAACGAACAGCACGAGCTGCCACTTCACCCAAAAGCGCTGGCTTTGCTCTGCCCTTCCACGACAACTCCCTGAGCCACTACAGGGACCCAACGAGTGCTTTACAGAAGGGGGAGGTGACACTCCAGGGATTCTGTGCCCACTTCCCAGGGCAGTTTGGGGCAGGAATGGTGGCACTCACCCTTCTTCCTCAGCTCTGGTTTGCCCTTCTTGACTGTGGCCATGACCATGTCTCCCACTCCGGCCGCTGGCAGCCGGTTCAGGCGGCCCTTGATGCCTTTCACAGAGATGATGTACAGGTTCTTGGCCCCTGTGGAGAACAGATGTTATCCTGGGATATCCAAACAGCTTCCCCTGCCCCATCAGTCCCATCAGTCCCATCAGCAATGCCACTGCTGCCTCCTCCCACCAGCACAGGCACAGCCACAGCTCCCCGAGGAGAAACAGTTTTGGGAATTCATTCAGCACCTGGTCACCCTCTGACTCATCCTGGGGGTCCTTCCTGCTGGGATTCCCTGGTTACAGGGGGTTCCTTCCCGTGGGGCTCCCCCAGTTCCAGAGGGGCTCCTTCCCACGGGAGTCTCACAGTTCCAGGGGCCTCATTCCCACTGGAATCTCCTGGGTCCAGTAATTCCTTCCCACCGGGCTCCTCCAGTTCCAGGGGGCTCCTTCCCACAGGGAACCTCTAGTTCCAAGGGGTCTCGTTCCCACGTGAATTCCCCAGTCCCAGTCATCTCCTTCCCACCAGGCTTCCCTAGTTCCAGGGGTTTCCTTCCTCAGGGAACCTCTAATTCCAAGGGGTCTCCTTCCTATGGGAGCCTCCTAATTCCAGTGATCTCCTTCCCACCAGGCTCCCCCAGGTCCAGTAATCTCCTTCCCACCAGGCTCCCCGAATTCCAGTGATCTCCTTCCCACCAGACCCCCCCAGTTCCAGTAATCTCCTTCCCACCAGGCTCCCCGAATTCCAGTGATCTTCCCATCAGATTCCCTCAGTTCCAGTGACCTCCTTCCCATTGGGCTCCCCCAGTTCCAGT